TTTACAATTTTAATTAATTATTTAAAAAATTTTTATAATTAATTTAGAGAAAATAATTAATGTGATAAAACCAAACTAATTTGTAAGGAAAAAATATAGTTTGAACTTTATTTTGCGTAATTGCATATTTAAATTTCAATATTATTTGTTTGATCAGTTTTAGCTTATTAACTTAAATAAAAAATAATTAAATAAATAATATTATACAAATAGTTTAGATGCAGTTGGAAAAGATTTTCTGAATTATTTACTTTAAAATATAAAATATTAGGTTAAATCATTTTAAAAATAATAAGAGTAATATTTTTTTGTTTTTATTAATTTTTTAAAATATTTATTATTATTAAAAAGTAGTTTTTAATCATTTTTTAAAAAATAAAAATATAATTTTATTAGAATAAATTAAATTAGTCATATAGAAGAAGGGAATAACTCAAATCAATTTTTAAATATTCCAGATAAATCTCTATTAAATCTTTAATTAAGGTAATAAATAGCCTTTAAATTTTTTTATTTCTTTTATTTTAGTTATAATAATTAAAAAATATTTATATCACTTAATTTTTTTAATAGTTAATATAATTTTTGTATTAATAGTTTTTTCGAATATGAAGAATTTAATAATATTTCAAGTTTTTTATATAAATTTCATTTTATAGATATATTGAGTCTTGATTTAAGGTAATTAATTTTCCTCTATTATTTTTAGTTACTCTCTATTTTTATATTTAGCTTTTTTTTCAATATTTTAAACTTCTATTTTTTAGTTATAATATGATTTTAAACAGAAAAACTAAAATTATTTTAAAATGACTAAATATTTTTAATTAAACAAAAATAAAATCTTCTTCAAACATTTTTTTTTATATGTTGATTCATGAATTAATTAAATATTAGTAAACAAAGATTTAGTAGTAACAATAGGCTCACACTAGAAAAACTTTACTCAATTACTGTGGTTTTATAAAATTTACAAAATTTAAAAAAATTAAATCTTAATCTAAGGTAATTCTTTAAAATATATACTTTTTTTATTAGTAGTCCCACACTTAAATTCAATTAAGGAATATTTTTTTAAATGGGGTTTTACTGCTCTAATTTATAACCCTTTATCGATTAGGACTTACATTAATACCTTGACCTTTAATCAACGACTATAATTAAAATAATAAATTTTATTTTTATATTAAATATTTATAACATAATTTTACAGTAACAATAAAATTGGGAAAGAAGGATTAAGGATAATTGCAAATTCTTTAAAATAAAGTAAGAATATTACATCATTAAATCTTAATTTAAGGTAATTTAAAAATTTATTTTGATATTTTTGCCTAAATTATAGCATTTTATTCATTTGATAATTAATTTTAAATTTATTTTTAAATAATGTAAAAACCAAAATTTTAATTTTTCTAGATGTAATTAGATTTGCATAGAAGGAGTTTTTTTTATTGCAAGCATTTTTGAGGAGAATCAAAATATCTTTGATTTAAATATTGATTTAGGGTAATTTTTAAAAAATATTTAAAAAGCTTAAATATTTGATCTAATTTTATGAGAACTCACTCACATTTTTTTATTGAATCATTAAAATTATCAGATTAAATTAAATCAAGTAAGAAGGAGCTGATAGAATTGGTATCGCTATAGAAAAATGCAAATAAATTATTTGTTTAGGGCTTGATATTTCAACAATGTAATTAATATTATTAATTTTTTTATTGATAAATCACTTATGTTTAATGATTAAAATAAGTTATTATTTATTCAACTTTGAAAATTATTTATTTTTAATAATTTAAAACTAAAACATTTGTTAAACAAAATTATTTATGATAGTGGATATGGAATTGGAAAAAATGGGGCAAAAAGTATTGCAGTGGCTTTGAGAAAGCTTAAAAATATGACTCAAATTAATCTTAATTTAAGGTTTCTTAAAAAATTTTTTATATTTTAAAAAGGAAAAATAAAAATTAAAAAAAGATTAAACTTTATTTTTAAATAAACATTTTTATTTATTTAGTGGGAATGATATCTGTGAAGAAGGTGCTTCAAGTATTGCAAATGCTTTATAAAAGTGTTATTAAATTATTCAATTAAATCTGGATTTTTCAGGGTAATTTTTAAATAATTTTTTTTATTCATTTTACCAAAATGTTTTATTTATTGAATATTTATAATTTCGATTAGTTGGAATAATATTGGTGTTGAAGGAATTTAGAGTATATCAAATACCTTATAGAAATTCTAAAGTATTTCTCAATTAAATCTAAATTTATCAGGAACTAGTTATGTGTAATATGAATTTTTTTATTTATTCTTTTTGTTTATTTGCAAATAAAATAATTTAAATATAATTGCTAGATAGAATCATTTAGGTTTAATAGGAGCTCAAATAATAGCAAAAGGTTTAGAAAATAGTCAAAATATTTCAGAATTAGATCTGAATTTAAGGTAATTTTATTAAAATTTATTTTTTTAATGATTTTATTCAAAACTAAAATTGATATTTTTATTAAATATTTCAAAATAAATTAAAAATTTTATTTTATTAGCTTAAATAAATTAGGTTATGATGAATTTTACTTAATAACAAAGGCTATAGAAAAGTGTTAAAAAATTTCTAAACTAAATCTTAATTTATCTTAGAATTCTTTAAAATTGTAATTTTATTAAATTGTTAATGCATACCAATCAATTTAATTAAACTAATTTTTATAAAAGAAATGAAGTTAGAGCTATTTCAAATCTATTAGAGGTCTTAATTAACGCTACTGAAGTGAATCTTAATTTAAGGTAATTTTAAGTTAATTTTTTTATTTTATTTATAAAAATAAATTTATTATATCAACAATAAATTTTTAGTATTTAATAATATAATTTGAATTATTATTTAAAACTAAATTTATAAGTGAAAATTTAATTGATGATGATTCATGTAAGATGATAGCAAATTCTTTAACAAAATCTTAAAATATTTCTAAATTAAATCTTGATTTGAGGTAGATTAAATATTTATTTCATAATAAACAAACTTATAACTTTAAAATACTTTAAAAATAAATTTTACATAGTTTATGAATTTATTTAGTAATTTTTAACTTTTTTATATTAGCTCAAATTGTGTTGGCAATAAAGAAGTTAGCATTATAGAAATTTTTTTATAAAATTGTAAATACATTACACAATTAAATCTTGATTTGAGGTAATTTTTAAATATTTATTTCATAATAAAATAATTAACAACTTGTTTTAAACTTTAAATTTTTTTCCTTTAGAAATTAATTTTACATATTTTATGGAGTTATTTAGTAATTTTTAACATTTTTATATTAGCTGGAATAGTATAAGCAAAAAAAACGCTATTATTGATGAAAATAACTTGTAAAATTGTAAAAATATTACTGAGTTAAATCTTAATTTGAGGTAATTTTTTTAATATATTTAGTTAATTTTTGTTTTAAACTTTTTTGATGACTAAATAATCATAGATCAGTAATTAAAAATATAATTAATTTACTTTTATTAGTTCAAATTAAATAGATAGTAATGATGCTTAAATAGTTGCAAGTGTTTTAAAAAATTCTTATAATATTACTAAATTAAATCTTAGTTTAAAGTAATTTTATTAAATTGATTTAGATAATTTATTTTAAAAAATAAAAATATTTTTCTTAAATAAAATTTATTTTTACAACAATTTCTTTTGCTAAATTTAACTTTTTTAATTTTATCTTTTTAGTAATAATAATCTTGATGATAAGGGAATTTAGATTATTGCAAATTCTTTTCAGTATTTATAAAACATTACTGAATTAAATTTAGATTTAAGGTAAATTTGTTAAAATATTTTGTTTTTAATTAATATATGAATAAAGATTTTTTTTCTTAAGAAAAATGTATTTTGACAATAATTTCTTTCACTAATCTTAACTTTTTTAATTTTATCTTTTTAGTAAAAATAATTTTGATGGTAATGGAATTTAGATTATTGCAGATTCTTTTCAGTATTTATAAAACGTTACTGAGTTAAGTTTAGATTTAAGGTAAATTTCTAAAAATAATTTGTTTTTAATTAAATACATGGATTTTTAATTCATCAAATATATTAAAATCTATCTATTTTTGATAAATTGTTTTACAAAAATATTCAATGATTAAAATATTTTATATTTAAACATGTTAGAGATAATCCTAAAAGTAAATAAGGAGAGTAAAGTATTATAAATGGTTTGGAAAAATGTAAAAACCTTCGTTAATTAAATCTAAAACTAGAGTAATTTTATTCATATATTTTGTGAACTTATTTAAATAGTATTAATAGTAATTTTATTTTATACAATTAAAAATATTGAAAATAATGACGAATTATATATTTTAATATATTTAATTTAAGAACTAGGAATGAAGAAATTTATTAATAAGTTACAAATCCTAATTAAAAATTTTAGAAATTAAATTTTGTAAACCTTGAATTTACCTAATAAGGTAAAAATAATATAAATAAGTAATTAATTTTATTTTATTTTTTTACAAAATTAATAAATAAAATATATTTTTTCATTTTTATTTAATTTCACTTTTAATTTTATCTATTTATTTATTAATTTACTTTATAATTTATTTTAAGTGTTTATTTAGATTACAATCAAAAATAATCTCAAAATATTTTAAATCAATTGGAAGCTATGCAGACAACTATTCAATTGGATATTGATTGATCCAAAAAGTAATTTAGATGTTATTATTGTAAACTTTTATTTAATATTAAAATTAAATTATTTATTAATTTTTTATTATTTATAGAATTACAAACAAAAAATGGATAATCAAAATTAAATTAAAATAAATAAATAAATATTTTATATTTAATATTTAATAAAGATTTAACTTTTTTATTTTATATAAGTTATGTATTTAAAATTAATTTAAACTATACAAAAATTATTATATATTAGATGTGCAACATTAGTTATGATAATCACCTCATTTTTCTTATTTTTCGTTATTTCTTTCATTTTAACCACAATAGTTAAAATAAAAAGTAAAATTTCATTTCTTCCCGAGGTTTTATATAAATTATGGTATCTATTAAATTGATAAATAAAAAAAGTATGGAAATTGATTGATGGATAATATTTCAAATTAAAAAAAACAGGAATATCAAAGCTTGGCATTTATAAAATTTATTAAGAAATAATATAACACTAAAAGATTCAAATTGTTTGATCGTTTTTTGAGAAACCATAGGGTTGCTTAGAGAAATTAATTTATTTAAGTAAATTAAATTTTTTATTTTTTTATTTTTTATAAATAAATTATTTACTTATAAAAATATGAATGATATCAATAAATATAAAATCAATTATAAAATCTACAAATCTATCTGTTTATATTTTAGGTTAAAAAAAACTTTTTCAATATAAAATATTATATTATTCAAACATTTAATATTTATTCATCCTTTTTTCGTCACTTTTTTATCAATTGGAATTTATTTCAAAGACAACTAATCTTTTTGATTTATGAATCTTTCTTATTATTTTGAGTTTTTATGATCCATTCAAATGCCTAAAAATTTTATAATAAATTTGTATAAATTTTTAATATATATCGAAATAAAATAAACTTTTAAATTAAAAATTTTTGTTAAATTAATTAATAAAATAGCGTTAGTGGTATGAAAAAGATAAAAAAATAAATTATATAAAAGCTATCAAATAAATTCAAAGAGTTTTATTGAATTAATAGTTTTTAAAATATCACAATCCAAAACAAATAAACTTTTTTACTAAAACTTTTTAAATATTGAAGAAAAAATACATCATTAAATAGTTAATTAGAAGGAAAAAATGAAGAAAAAATATGAAATAATAAGATTAATTAACAATAAAAGCAAAAGTTAAAAATAAAATGATGAGCTAAATTAACAAAGAAAGAAAGAAAGAACAAAAAAAAGCAGGCACAATAAAAAGAAAAAGAAAAAAGAGCTTTATTGTTTTTAATTAGTTTTTATAATTAAAAATATCACAATCCAAAACAAATAAACTGTTTTTACTAAAGATAAAGTGTCAAATTTGAGAGATTAATGCACTTTGCTAAAGCATAACCTAAGCCTGATGCACCATCATCACCAATTTTATTGTTACTTTTTAAATATTGAAGAAAAAATATATCATTAAATAGTTTATTTGAAGGAAAAAATGAAGAAAAAAGATGAAATAATAAGATTAATTAACAATAAAAGCAAAAGTGAAAATAAAATTATGAGCTAAATAACAAAGAAA